GGGGGGTGTGGCGGCGCCCCCCGCTCGGGTAGGTACCAGGGCCGGGAGCTTCGGGGCGGGAGGAAGCGCCTCCCGCTGGCTGCAGCGCGGTGTTTTCTCTCAGAAACCCCGAGCTTAACCTCACCCCTCAGGTCCCTCCAGGCCCTTCCCGGCGGCGGCGGTGGATGATATCCTGAGGGATGTGGTGGGGAGCTACCTGAGGGAGCAGCCCTACGAGCCGGCCCGCTGCAGGGACATGGCGAAGGACATTGCTGAGGTACCGCTGCGCTATAGGCACGAGGCGGCCATTTTGTCCTCCCGCCTCGACGGGGTGTCAGGGAGGTGGCCGTCGCGGGGAGGGGGGAGGAAGGTCCCCAAATATAAATATCAAGTGTAAAACAAATGCCGGAGGAGGCCGTCAAGGTGCACCAAGGGGTTGGTCGGAGACGGGTGCAGGCTTATAGGAGTTAATGATGAGGTTCGTTCGAGCAGCGGTGGCTCTGGCCAAGCGCACCGTTCCGTAAAAACTCCGTGCTGTGGTTGCCCTGGTGAGAAATATTAATAAGTTTTAAATGTATATCCGACTTCTCTGAAATAGGCCAGTTATGGCAGTGGCTGAATTCTGCACAGTGACACACGTGCAAGCTCCTCGGTTAAATACAGTCTTGCTGCTGAGAAAAGACTAACCCTTCAGTTAGTCTAACCCTGTCCTAACCCTTCAGTCTTTCAGCTGATTTGGCCCAGAAGAGCTCATCGGCGTTTAAAAGCAGCACTGGCTGCTCTCCCTCTCCCCCTGTAGCCAGCAGGTAACCATGGCCACATACGGAGGAGAGTTTGGTATTCACGTACAGTAACATCTGCGTGTGGATTTCTGTAGTCCAGCAGGAAGGTGCGTCAGTTTTTAGCAGATGGACGTGTTGGTTCTCTTGCGAAGGGACGGCAGCAGCGTATGTGCCACCCGTCCACGGGGCTGGGGGAGTTTGCAGTACACGGTTTGAATGCTGCGGTTCAACGATTGGCATCGGGACTGTTGCAAGGGCTCCACAGAGCCCTTCTCTGTCCCAGAAAACCAAATCCCTGAGCACCCGCTGTGAAGAGAGCTGACCACTTGTGTCTAAACGTGTTTTTCTCTTGCAGGTTATTAAAGCTCGGGTAAAAGACCTCGTGATACCGAGGTACAAGATTGTTGTGGTGACGTATATCGGGCAACTGAATGAGCAGAGCATGCAAATCGGAAGCCGGTGCCTGTGGGATCCCGCCAGCGATACATTTTCGTCGTACGTGTTCAAGAACACTTCGCTGTTTGCTCTCGCCAATGTCTACGCTGTCTATTTTGAATAGAGGTAGTTGGCTTTAACAGCAGCAGTAATGAACATTCAGCCCAACTCTTCCTGTTTCTGTTGTTGAAAACGGTTGTGAAGGACCGAGGCAGCTTTCACCTGTTTTGAAATGTGGGTACCGTAAGCCCTTTGGTGGTGAATGTAATAATTGTGTTTCCCGGAGCTTTCTCTGGGAAGTGATTCTCTGTGATGTGCTGCTTTGCACCTGATTCTAGCTGCTTTCAGAACCGGGTATCCCTGTAATACTTTTTTTTCTCCCTGAATTTGCCCTCACTACATGAGCAGAAACCGCATTTTTGGGAAGCAAAACAAAAGCATTTTAAAACTATCTCCGGTAAACGGCGTTTGTGGGCAGTTAAGCACGTTCCGGGCCCTGCAGCCCCGGCTCTGTGCACAGGCTGTATTGCAGACGCTGTGCCCCTTCGAGCTGCAGTAGCTCGGTGGTGTGGGTTACCCTGTCCTGCCTGGGGGAATGGCAGAGGGATCCCTCCAAACCTTCCTGCCGTGCTCAGGGGTGCTCTGGATCGGGGAGAGCCAGGAGCTTTGCTCGCTGGAGGCTCCCCCTGAGCCCCGAGAAGAGCCCCGAGTGCAGAGAAGGTGGCCCAGAGAAAGGGGTTAGTTCTGCTTGGAGAAGACTAGCTTGAAATCAAGTGAAAAATGTCTTCAAATTATATCATTTTTAGAGTATATAGATCTAACGTGACTGGGCCCTTCTATTGAAGGTGCTTGAATCTAGCAAAAAAAAAAAAGAATTGGGGTTCTGAGCTGATTCCTGCCTATAGATGAGAGGGGGAGCGCAGCCCTCTGAGCTCAGCAGTGTATTTCCAGTCTCCCTGGGTGCAAATTAACCATCCAGTAGGTGGGACCCCGGGTTGACGTTACTGGAAGCAGCTGGAATAGGAAATAACCCGCGGCTGCTGCCTGCCCAGTTCCAGACCGATCCCAGGTGTCGTCTGCTGCGGCCGTTTTGTTCTCATCTGTGCTGCCTCGAGGGGCTTTATTCTGAGTCTGAAGACAGACTTTTTGCTACCCATATTTCACAGCTGAAACATGCTGTCGGATTTTTCGTAAGAGAAACGGTGTGTAATAAGCTGCTTATTTTATTACATTTTATGGGCAAAGCTGAAACTTGAACAGTAGTTAGATGGGAAGAAATGTTTGTACTCTTTACTAAAATTTAACTCTAAACCACTGTGAACACTTTGTGGAATCCAGACAACCCAACCTGGGCTGTCACTGCAGCCGTTTGCTGGTTTGCGCTACAACGTTTAACATTCAGCCTTTACTCCCTAGTGTCCTCCAAAGAATAAAGCATCAATTAAAGAAGACAAGTGAAATAATTGTGGTTTATGTCATGATTATTTTAATACGTGAAAGCCGTCACACTGCACCTCGTCAGTGTCTGCTGCATTTCAGCACAGGGAACTGATCTCTCTCTCGCTGCAGCCGATGCTGCAGCAGGATGTGGTAAGCAACCTGACTGCTTCACGCTTTTTTAGGGTCGACGTTTTCCTGGTACGCTGCAAATCTCGCCCTTTCTGGGGCTTGACGTTGGGGATTTCTTTGCTGTCAGCCTCCAGCCTCTGGTCTGTGTGCGTCGAGGAGTCGGCATAACCGTTGTTCTCTTGATAGTCAGGCAGGGAATTCTCACTCTCTGCCTCGTCAAAATTGGAAGCTAAAAATTAGAAGTCACGGAATTGTGAGTAGTTTATAACATTTATCTTTACTAGCGAGACAGACCAGCCTACAGCCAGGGAGCTGGAAGTATTATCCTCCGCGTTTCTGATGTGAGCAACCGAGAGCTACCAGATCACTGACTTCTCACCAGTGCAGTATTAAAAGAGATACGCAAGGTACACATCCTGTGATTAGCGTGTTAAAACCCCCAGTAATTATGGGGTTATGTGGAAGAGTGTTCTTAGGAGTAGTTGCTTTATCAATCTTACTGTTTCGACGGATAAACCCGTGTTTTGATGTGGCCCTTGACCAGCCTGTTAACCTGGAACTGCTTGTGGGTTTCCTGAAATGCAGTTGTTCGGTGAAGGCACCAGATACCCCATGATTTCAAAGTTCCTGGATGTTCCCACTTAAATTACACTTGGGATTCCTGTGCGTTTTAAATACCACAGTACAACTGGGCGCTGCCTCATGGATCTTATAAAGGTATAGTGGCTGTATCTCACTTGCTTTAGCAGTGGGGGTTTCTTCTCCTTTAACAGACCCTCAGGTAGGGTGTTGCAGGTGGTGTCGCATTTTATGTTTGTTTAAAGCTGCTGCTACGATAGAATTTTTAAAAAAAGACAGATGTTAGTGCGTGGAAAGTATAGAAAGCCTCTGTTCCTGTCATCTGCCTCCTTTATTTTCTTTCTTCTAGTTCTTTTAACCTGTCAGAGTATAAATTTCTGGCAGCGCACGTAATCGCTGAATTTTCTATGAACATAAATACATACACCACCATGGGAAGATACTTAAATTGCAGAGTATATATTCAACATCCTTTAATTATAATATTCTTAAGTTGTAACAAAGTTTCTGGTTTCTAGTGGGGAAAGTGGTGTGTCCTATTGAAGACAGCACTGACGGCAGCAAAGCTTGTCCCTGACACAGAGATTTTCAGTGATAGCCTCGGGCTTAACTCGCAGTTCCTCAGGTTGACATGGAAAATCTCCATCTAAATGTTATTTATTTGGCAAAACAGCACACTAAGCTAAGGCAAGCAAGCTGCAAGGAAACAAAAGGCGTGAAGTGGCACCGCGCCGCTTGCTGTCTCACAGCAAAGCCCGTTCTGCCCACCGTTGAGGTGCAGCTCTCGAGGGGAGCAGCAGAAGCGGAGGGCGCAGCTCTGCCCTTGGGCGCAGCCTGCAGGGGAATTGGTTCTTCCGAATCCCCTCGGAGCTCGGCGCGCCTTGCAGAGGCTGATGAGCGTTAATTAGTACTTACCAAACAGGTAGCCATAATCACTCAAATGCCTTTTCCACCGAGAGCCGCCGCAGGTGAAGACGACGGCTCTGACGAAGTCTCTCCCGCAGAGCCGGACGGTGTTCCCTTCGCCGCGTCCTTCCCGCGCCGTCACCAGGAGGGCGAGCAAGGCCAGCGCCAGCACCGTGCCCCTCATTCTGCGGACGCCGTGCTCTGGCAGGGGCAGGAGGGAGCTGCAGGCCGAGGTGGGGACTTCTGCTGAAACCCTCTCATTTATACCCACGGCCCATCCGCTCCGCTGAGTAACGGCTTGTTCTGAGGATGACTTAATGTTTGCTAAAAACAAGTTAATCGCTTGTTTCTGGTAATGTTTTAAGTGCTTTGGGATTTGTGCTGGGATTTCGGTCAGGTATTAAAGACTCCTTAAGACCGTGTAACTGCTTTACTACAGGAACACATGTAGTATAACATGTTTATAGGGTACGGGCTTAGGTCAATACCGTTAATGTGTATGTTCTGCAAAAATGAAAGGGTGTTTATTACGTGACTTGTAGATAATGGGCTCTGGCTCGGTGTGTTTCCCACGCAGCGGTGCTACCCGCAGCCCGTTGCCCAGTCGTGCCTGTTAGCACCGTGTAAGCAACGGTGGGTCTTTCTCTGTCAGCGATCCCAAATTAAAAGGGAGTTAATAACTTCCAGTCATGTCCGCGGTCGCGTACCTCCCCACTACCCTGCCTTGTTCTCTTGCCACGCATCCCCTTGTCCAGCCGGCAACTGCGGGTGCAATCTGCGGGTGCGGCCCCTCATGACAAAATCGTGTACTGAGGGGTTTTTGTGGCGGACGTAGGCAGCACCTGCCTTGCTGCGATTCCTGGCGTGCTACGTGATGGGATGCGGTCCTGCCGCATGCGGAGGTTTGGAGCACAGTGAACTGGCCGTAACGAGCTGCGCAGAGCAGTGGGGCTGTTGGACAGCTCGTGTCCGTAAGGATTTGCCTGGCGGATACCTGGATGCAGGGAAGCAGCTCCACTGCAGCTGCACGGCTCACCTGTCTGCGGCGAGGCCTGTGGACATGGCTCTGGTCTAATACTTGGGAAAGCTGCACTTTTAGAAGACTCCAGTGTCTGAATTTGTGAAAATATTTACTTTACAGCCAGCTGTGGTGTGCGGGTTTCAAGGTCTCAGTGTTTTTGAGCTCGTGAGGTGCAGGGATGAGGAGGAGCGAGACCCGGGCACTTGACCCACTCTGGCCAGCAGGGTTATTGCATACCATCAACATCACATTCACTATAAATTAGACAGTTTGCTGCGAAGTTCTCTCTCTCCCTTGATGGCTGCCATCCTGAGAACTTCGTACCCTGGTGCCGGACTCCTGAGCCCTTCCCTTCCTCCCAAAGCCGCAGCGCTCGCGGTGTCCCACGTTTGCTGTCCACTGCTGGGAGTGCACAGCTTCTACGGATAGAATGGGCTGAGTATAATCTTTGAATATTCTGTATTGGTGTCGGGATCACTATTGGTTCTTTAGTGCTGTTAATGTTAATTATCTAGTCTTATTCTATTAAATCTGTTTATACTTCAGCTCCCGGGTTTCCTTGTTTTTCCCAAGTCCCCTTCCCGGGTGGGGAGAGGTCATCGGGTGACAGAATGATTGTCTAAATGACAATAAATTGTTATGGGTCTCTCAAACCATAACACTTTCATAAAAAATTCTTGCAATAAAATGCCTTAGGGAGACAATTTGTTGATTACGAGATCAGAAATTCCACATTTAAGAACAAAATACATGAGGAACTTTGGCAATCTTTAGCACTTCCTAGCACCACAAGTGTTTTCCAGCACCATAATGTTACGGTTAATTAGTTTACACGACGTGCAGGGTGAACTGCAACGCATTACAGCCTTGACAGAAAGCTCGTTTTTTACCAGTAGCATCAGTAAGTAAACAGTCATGCCCACCGATGGAAAATACATGGTCTATTTTGTTCAGATTTGTAATAATGATTAACACATGATTCACCTTAATGGGTGTCTTTCTTTGAAATGCACAAAGATTAATTTTACGTGAAGGGTAAGCTCGCACGCGCGCTGTAAACCGTGCAGAGCACAGAAGGAAGTGAATGTTAATGCATCACAAATGGTCTTTAACTTCAGTGATGGGTTTAAATGTTGGACGGTTTATTGTCAGGCTAACGAGAGAGTCTGAACGTTCTGTGTCTATAAAGTCCGTGTCCGGCTGCATAATGCTTTGGAGAGCGGGCAGCGCTTGCCTCCGGCAGCGGGCAGGCAGGCAGGGCGCTTTGCTGCCTGGCTCCTGTGGCGGGGGGACCCTGCTGCGCTCATCAGGCAAGAGCAGTGGCTGGGCTGGGCTAGGGGAGGCGGTGAGGTCTCCAAAAAGCCCAGATCTGGCTTCCAGAGCTGCCGAAGCGAGCCCTTGCTCCAGGAGCACGCTGTTACCTCGGGTGAGGAGCCCTCGGGAAAGCGGCAGCGTGGAACCCAGTGAATTTAAACGGCGATTTTACATGATCCTCATTTGTCAGGGGTTGAGAAGTTGGCCTCTACTTTTGCCTGCTGTGGGGTGATCCGCAGCAGCTCGCAGGAGCACCTGGTGGCACTCAAAGTTCAGCTTTCATCCTTGGAGGTGGTTTATGGGATGGCAGGCAAGGTGGGTCTGATGGAAAGGGCATTCTTCTACTGTGTGATTTCACAGTGAAGATACAGACCACATCTGGTAAGGACCTGGGCTGGATTTTGGAGCGGCCTACAGAGGAGCTGATTTTTGGCGTTTTTGCTTTTTGAGTAAACCAAGAAGAAAAGACCGTGGAGGAAAAAAACAAGGAGAAAAAACCCAAGGAGAAAAGATGACTGAGACCTTTCTATTACCTTATCTGTATTATAGGGAAGGCCATTTGCGTGTTAATGCTGTTTGTCCAACGAGGGGGGCTTCCAGGGGAAAATTTAGAGCATTTGAAAGAAGTTTCTAACCAGTATGGTTTCAAAGAGAAATTTTAATGATTGAAAAAGAATAAACAGTTTGTGTTAATGCTACCATAAGTCTTTCCTGCTGTTTACTGAGAAGTGGTATCATTTAGCTACTGTTAAACAGCTACAGCAGGCCCAATTATGTCATGTAAGGTATCAACCTGTAAAACAAGAGGAAAAAAAGAGCTGCGTGACAGTGTAATTGCAGTACAAGACATGCCGTGATCCAAAATTCCTATTTATGAACAGAGAACAGAATTGCTTGGGCAATGAGCAGCCAGAAAGCAGGCTAAGGCAGTTCGTATTACGTCAGCTGATTCTTCTTTGGAATTCTGTTAATCCCATGCTTACCTCTAACAGCGCTCCTTGAAAAGAGCACTTTTTGGCAGGCCTGTTTGGGTTGCGTTTGTAGCATCACACTTAGCAGCATAGAAACATGTATCTTGTTTATAAAGGAAATTAATTTTCAAGATGATAAATGTATAGAGGCTGTACTTAGATGGGATTGCCCCTGAAGTAATTATCTCCCGTTAGCGTTAGTCGTAGTGCGGGCCCTGTTGTGCTATGCCTGGTACACACCTAAGCCTAGGAAGACCTGGCTGTTGTCAGAAAGGGGAGCGAAAGAAACAGATGATGCTGGAAAGCGGGGCTCCCGCTGGCTAACGAGGCTCTGTGACTCAGTGACCAGTTATGCCACATGCCCAAAGTCTGAAATTAAGCACGGCTATTTTTAGTCCTGTTCTGGTGACATACCCAGGACATTATCCCTATACACTTATTAACTAAAGAACTTCTCTGCTTAGAGGGCTCCGGCTGCTTTGTGGTGATTTGTAGGAAAAAAACCCCAATAATTTATTTTCTAAGTTTGACAACAATGGCCTCACTTTTAGTGTTTAAGGGAAACATCTTTTTTTGCTCTGTGGTTTACAGCACTTGCCAAATGAGGCTGCTAATTACCAGAATTTCTAAATGCAGTGCTGACAATTGTGAATTATTAATCCTTCATACCCTAAGAATGAAGGTTAGGTTAACATCGGCGCATTTTCATTCTCTCCAACTTTAGTGTTTTGCACCGTGTAACTCAGCAGGGATTTTTAAAAGTGCCAGTCCCACTTTACAAACTGGGAACCCAAGTCCGTTAAGCCAAAGCTACTTGCTCAAAGCGGAGAGGACAAAGGGAGCGGTGCGGTTCGGGGCTGCAGGCCACCTGCAGACAGAGCCTGGAGGAGGGATCCACCTGGGGCTGGAGTACCCGGGGTGGCATCAGGATTTCGTACCGTGGACCGCGCAAGGAGGGGTTTGGGTATAAATGAGCACTGATTTATGCAAAAGTGAACAGAAGGGGTTCACAGTCGACCCTCGTCAACATTTACACTGCTGCTGACACGGAATCTATGCAATGGTACGATTGGAAAGGAACCTACTTGTACGGCAAGTCAAATTCTCACATCTCACCCAGGACAGAAAAGCCCTCGCTGGGATAAAGAGTGGCTTCTCAAGGAGTGAAGGAAATGCAGAGCCAGAGGGCTAATGGGTTTGCTGACACCAGCCAAGTGAGACTATCTTGTTGGTGGCCAGGAGAGGGCACGTCGTTCCTGCCTTGTCAGCAGGTAAGGGCTTTCTGCCAGACACAGTCACCTGCAGGCTGCACTGAGAGGCAGCTCCACCTTCTGCCCTTGCCTCGAGCATCCCTCCCGAATCCAGCTGTGGGGAACCACTGGATTTGCGATCAAGTCAAACCTCAAGTTCAACGTTGACTTACCTGTTCCTGAAATGTCTAGCGGTATGGCATCCAGAAGAGCAGGAACCTCCTCAGGTTTTAACCTGGTTATTGAATTCTATCTGATTTCACTAATTTAAATATTTATTAACCAGATCTTTAATGGAAAGCCTTTGCTGAGGAATGAAGTCCCAGACAAACACGCAAGGCCTCTGAGGACCACCACCTTTTCCTAGTGAATCGTACCTGGTTGCTGTTGGGAGCAGTCAGGTTCTGCAGCTCAAACACACTGACTGCTCCTGTGCTGTCCCCTACCAGAAGGCAGTCGGTGTTCGTAGCAAAGAGCACGGATGTGAATTTCTGTCTCGGGCTGGCAAAGCAGGAGATCACGGGGTTCAAGCTGCAACCCAGCAGAGGCAAATATTAATGATGACAACGGTAAAACTGCTTTTCCCTGGAATGTACAGTCTAACAGTAATGCAGGCCTGATAAATGTTGCGTGTTTTACTTATTATGTTCTAGATTAACTCAAAAACTAAGAAGTGAAGCAGTTTTTTGTTTGGTCTCTACCAGAACAAAAATCCCAGCTGCTATTAACTAAGTTGCCCAAAATCTGTCCTATTGTCTAATATGGGGGAGAGGGGAGTGTTAATATTTTTATTTTATGAATTTTAATTTTTTTTTTTTGCTACCGCAAGATTTGGCCCACTCCCACTCCACTGCTGGCTTCATGCTGTTATTAAGACTAAATAGTACAGACCAGCAGTACAAAGCCACAGATTAACTAAGCTGCACAAGAGATGTGCACATACTTCACAGCAGTGGGAAAAAGTGAGATGTTATCTGAACTTCTGACCGTCTGATCTTTAGAAAAGGTCCAAAGTAGCTTAGTTTTGTTCTTTTTCCTTTTAACTATGGAATGGTAGAACCTATGATTTCTGCAGAAAAAAAAAAAAAAGCAGGTTTACCCTCTGTCGAGTTCCGCGAGGCATAGAATCATAGAATGGTTTGGGTTGGAAGGGACCTTGAAGATCATCGAGTTCCAACCCCCCTGCCCTGGGCAGGGACACCTCCCACCAGCCCAGGTTGCTCCAAGCCCCGTCCAACCTGGCCTTGAACACCTCCAGGGATGGAGCTTCCAAAATTTCCCTGGGCAACCTGGGCCAGTGCCTCACCACCCTCACAGTGAAAAATTTCTTCCTGATATCTAACCTAAATCTCCCCTCTTCCAGTTTGAAGCCATTCCCCCTCGTCCTATCACTCCATGCCCTTGTAAAAAGTCCCTCCCCAGCTCTCCTGGAGCCCCATTAGGGACTGGAAGGCCACCATAAGGTCTCCCCGGAGCCTTCTCTTCTCCAGGCTGAACAACCACAACTCTGTCAGCCTGTCCTCATAGAACATAAGAGCATCCAACTCTTTCTCTTAGAGTCACAATTATCTGGAACTACCATCTGCTTTTACAAAATGAGTATTGCAAAATGCACTACTTTCAATAACTAAGCAAGCACATGGCATGGAGCTGTCATGATCTGTTAAAAACACTGAGTAGGCAACAACATGTAGCCTTTGTGCCATTAAGTTTCAGAATCTTCTTTGAGAAAAGTAATTACTTACATGCTGACTCTAAGATCCCAAATTTCGACTCTGCTTTCATTTGCTGCTGCAAATATGAAGGCTGATTTTGGAGACCACATAATGTCGTGAACAAAAGCAGTGGTGGAATTGAAAGTTAACATGGGTGTCTGTGAATCCTGGTGCCATAAAATAATGCTCCAGTCTGCAGAGCAACTAAGGAACATGTCAGTGCTGAACGGATTCCAAGTGACTTTGTACACAGGACCCTGGGAAGAAACAGAACAGAACTTTGTGTTATTCTAGAGCTACGGCCTCACAGGATGGTTTTTAATAGTGACCTTTCATGGAAATTCCTGCCCTCTGACCTTAACCCAGCATTGTTTTAGGTGTGCCCATAGGAAATTAGGATGCAGCAGGTGTGACAAGACAGGAGAGGTGTTAGGAATAAAAAGCATTCAGCTGATTCTGTCCCTTCACCAGCCGTTAGGAGAAGCTGATGTGGAAAGGGCAGCTTCTGGGATGAAGCAGAGACTTTAGAAAAAAAAGATGCTGTTAAAGTTCTGCCATCTTTCTCTCAGAGGTAAGACTATTTAACTGTGGTTTGCAGGACAATCAGATTACCAATTGTTTTCTTAAAGCTATAACTGCTTTAAAACAGTTTATGGTACAAGTTTTAATAAATTACTTCAAAAAATCCTTACAGTGTAGAAAGTAGTCCTGTAAGACTGCGATGCTTTATGCTATGGGAATTGATTCCAAACATAAGAAAAGAAGTTTAGGTTTCTTTTGCTGCAGGTGTTTTGTTTAGTAAATGTAAGCAAAGAAACTATGACATTTGTGAACTTAATTGAACAGTTTTTGCTGCCATTACTTTTTCTATGCATCACTCACCTTATGGCCTCTGTACGTCTCTAGAAACTGCTCGTTGCATGAACAAGAACACTTGTGGATATGACCCTCTTCTGTTCCAGCAAGATAAAAATTAGTGTCCTGCAAGAAAGGTAAAAGTAACCTAAGTTGGATTAACCTATTTATCACTCATCCAGAAATGCATAAAGGACTGGGTGAGTTTGGCAGTTACAGTCCTCTGAAGAGCTAAGGTGGAGTTGCCAGGATGGTGTGTGTTGGGCTGCTTGCGTGTGTGCTGCAGAGGTGTATGTGCAGTAGGTATAGTGCTGCCAGAACATTCGGATTCGGTATGTGTGTTCTCCATCTATGTAGAACATATACTGTGATTTTTGACTGCAGAAAATCTCAGAGTTTCTGTGATCCACATGGACAAAAGCATGAATACTTCAAATGCTCTGAGGACAAAATATTCAGGTGGGTAAAGAGGAGAAGCACAGCCAGCTAAGTCCTAGACTCGGGAGAGGCTGAACAGTCAAATTCTCACTGATTTGACCAACACACCGAGGAAAGCTACGCTAGGATCTGGCCCAAAGCAAATGTGAGTAACATGGATGAAATGATCGAGTTGTTCACATACAGGGATTACTTGGTTTATCGTATCATCCATTTTGGGTAAAACTGTTATTAGCTAAGAAGCAATTTGTTTCAGAACTAAATATGCTTTAAATACCAGTGCCAAGTTGCAGGCTAGCGCGTATGAAAGTAGCTGCAGCTGAGGATCTCACCCCTGCTGCACAGTTCTGGATAATACTTCAGCCAGGATGGACTGTCTGAGCCTACCTTTGGGTGGAAGTCAAAGCACATTCCAGCTGCCAGTTGAGATATCAGAGCTTCACTTTTCCTTCCTTTCTCACCTGGTAATTTTTTCTTCTCGCTTTCTGTCCGCTTTATTTTCATCAGATCTGTGCAAATAGCAAGAGTTTTTGTCAAACAGGTATGTGAAAGTGCTATGAATAACTCGTGCTTCTTTTGGAATGCTCAACAGCTCTTAAATGCTTTGTGTATGATAACTGGTGGAAAGAATGTCACCTGAAATAAAATGAAGCAATTGCAATTGCAGGTATTACCCCTCTGCAGAAAAGCTGCAGGGGAAAATGCTTACCAGTGCAATCTAGTCTTTTCTGGATAAGCCACTCAGTTATTCGGCCATCTGCTGAGATACACGTTAATCTCTCTTTTTTGCCATCTCCTGTTGCATCTCTGTCCTGTTCCACCCACCTCAGTTGCCATACAGGACCCGTGTGTTTATTTGAGGATTTACTGGGATAAAAGAAGCACATGATAACTCATATATGAACAAAGACAAGACAATATATTTGAAAAATAATATATTGTAATGACCATCAAATCTTACGACAGAAATGTTTAGCTCTTCTTTAAAAAAATGAAATCTGAACATTGGCTGTTTTCTTGAGGAAATTTTTTCTTTTATGAAACATGCTTGACATTTCGTTTCAGGGCACTGTTTATGGGCTGACACATCTTTCATTGACACCCAAATCATGAAATCAGGCTTCACCTTGGAGGAGAGTGCCCTAGACCTGGGGAGCTGCCCTTGGGGCAAATGTCTCCCTGATCACCACCTCTGTCTCATTTTCTTCTTAATTCTTGCTTATCCCTCACCTATTCTGATGTTCTCTCCGCTTTTGGCAAGTGGAATCAGTGAGAAAACATTAAAAGCTACCACTGGTCTCCCCACAGGATTTATTATCTGGGGCAGGATTCTCCTAGTACGTGCACAGGGTATAAAATGATACGTGGCGGTAACTTGCTGCATTTTCTTAAAAAGCCAGAGCGTAGCACTCATTTGTTTCACCTTTCCAATGTGCTGAACTCACTTTGTATGCACAGCAACATCACAGAGAGTCTCATACCCCAAATAAGGACCAGTGGTGTTAAAGTAATGTGAGCATTTATCAGCAGAAATAAGAATAGAGCGAGATAGCAGTGCAGAGGGAGAATGGCAGTGTCTGAGGTTTTGGCTGTATCAGTGTAAATAGGTGGGTGGGAGAAGTCCGGCTGGCCCACCCTGGCCCCTCCCGGCATTTATGCATTACCATAAATTTGTGTCTCCGCAATTTTGCTCCAGAAACTCTGTATTTGAGAGTATTGAGTGTTTATGTTCGCATTTCCAGTCAAAACGGGAAGATATTGATGAAAGTTAGAAAGGCAAAAATTGTGCAACATCCCTGAGCATTCACGAGCCTTACTTATCAAGACTGTCGCTATTCCCTCAGCTTCTCAGTTGTGGCTGTTCTTTTATTTGTTATTTGCTAAGATGTGACCAAGGTGGGAGGAGATGGGAAATCATAGCCTTACCTGCTGTCCAAAAGTGCAGCGTCGTTGCAACTCCGTACATTATAGATTGCAACGGAACCATTGTACATTCCAACTGCTAAAAGATTCGGGCTTGCCGTAGAAAAATCCAAAGCAGTAACACCATGTGCACACTGGAAAATACGCTCTGGCCACTGACAAGTAGAAAAATACAAGAATGTTTTAAGTTAGTTTCTTAATTCACCTCGGCCTTCTCAACACTGCATACTGATTTGCCAGGCTCTGCTGGAAAATTCAAGTGCTGATGACCATAGTGACCACTTCTAGACAGAAATTAGGTACCGTATTCTAAATGGTTCAGTTTATTTCTTGCAACATCTGATAAAATTAGCGAAAACTAAACACTACACAGAAATACAACACTGTAAAATAAATTAGATGGACCTACTCCAAACCAAATACCTAAAAATGAAGTTCCCTAAGATTCAGCTTTGTGAGTACAGTGTGAGGTTTTTGTTTGCTTGATTTGTTTTGTTTTGTTTTTTTTTCTTTTTAAAACAAACTTGGCATTTTGGAAAACTTCTCCAGTTGTTTTCTATCTTGTAATGTGAAGGTAAGTACCTTTCCAATTACAGAAACTTAGCTGAAGATAAAATGCAATCTAATGTACTTCAGATAACCTGTAAACCGCTATTTTCATGTCATTTCTCTATGCAACCAAAAAACTGATTCAGCTCTGTTATAAGATTAAATCCTTAAAGTCACTGCACCAAGCTCTTGAACTGGGAAACAGCAGAGTTAGTTTGCAAAGAATGGTATTTCGGTGTGCGTGCCAGACCTTATTTCTTAATGTTAGGGATGTGCGGACTATGGTGACATCAGGGAACCACAGGAGTATTTGTTTGTTGTTGACGTGATAAATATGTGTCAAAGCCTTGACTCTGCATGATTTAAATTAGTCTAATACACAATTTTGGGCAAGTGAAGTTTGTAGAACACATAAAACTAAAGTTGTGTAATTTCACGGCAATCAGGTGATTTTTACTATGTCGCTTTGTAACTGCAGTTTCTAAGATTTTTATTTTTTTTTTCTAAATGGCTAGTTTAAAAAGGATCACTTTTCAGATGGATATGTAAAGATGTAAATGTTACATCTATGAAATCTACTGTCTTTTTGAGAGTATTACGAGAAGTTAGATTAGATAATTATATTTAATTACATACTTTTTATTTTTTTCCCTCAGCCTAAGCAAATTTTATGGTACAACAGAAAATGGATTGGAAAGGACAATCCTTAAATTTAAAATACCGGTGTTCTCTGTAACGACAGTTTGGAAGTACTGAAGGGAAAGGTCTATAGATTTTGAAAAGCAAAAGGTGAATGGATTTATTTTCACATTTGCTGTGCCCAAGACTTTTCCAGTCTAAAAGATAACTTCTACACACCTGGGTCTACCCACAGTAATAACGAAACAGATTTACAGTCTTGGGGAGGTCGTCCTCGGGATTGGAAATGGGGTACAGAGACGGGCATTGCAGAGTTGCCTAGCATAGGCTGGTACTACCGGAGAGTTGTAACCATCTGTTAGTTGATGGGTGGACTGTGTGCAGTGAGTTTAGTTCCTGTGAACAGATGTCCGTGTTACCAAACCACCAGTACAAGTCAGCACCTCTGTTGGAAGTGTCAGCTGAGAGGATGGACCGGCACAGAAACTAAACTGCTTCCTACAGGCACTTTCTTTGGCTCGAGATTTAAGCACATTGCTAGGTACTGCAGTCAGAATCAGTTTTCCAGAAATGCGTGGTTTTGGGCTAGCAAATTCAACCTTCCTGGCTAGGTCTTGCTTTTTGAAACGGGAAGAGGGAAATAAATAAAGCAGAAACAGCATAGCAGAAAAATGCATTGAAGAAAACAAAAGAAAACAAACTGGCTGCTTTTTACCATGGGGTTCTTCAATGACCAACAGCAAGCCAAACCCTTCTTCTGTTCGTTAAAATCCAACGCTCCATAACCAACAGCTAAAAGATCCTAAAAGGACAGATTAACAGATATATCTCAGTCTAACTTGAAGTTCATTTGTATATTTCTAAAAGGCAAATTTCTGTTCAGAGTGACTCTCAGTGCAAAGTCTGGAAAAATAATGCTCACGTCATATGCGAGCAGAATAACACACAAGAAGAACAGAATTTCAGAATTTCTAGAATACTGGAAACTGTTCAACTAAAAGTGAATTCATAGTCACTACCAGTTGTGTTTGCAATCCCCCCTCCCTGGCCATCATAAAAATACGTCCCTTTCCAGAGATGAATATACATTATTCTATAATCATATTTTAATGTGCAGCATTTAGTGGAACACATAATAATGTACTTTTCTCTCTCAATGTTAGCTGTAAAAGGAGCTTCAGTGACCCCCCTCAAACTCCTTGCTTTTAGCTCTCTACAATGGGGTCCAATGAATTCCGCTCGTTCCTTTCCATAAGCAGAAGTAAGAAACAGCAGCAAAATTTTAGGCTTCAACTCCATTAATTTTTTTTCCTACACAAAACAACTTCTTTGTGAAACTAAGACTTGAAAAGTAGGTATTTGTTTGCCCTATAATTCTAGAACTGAAATCTATAAATGATCATCTTTAGAACATCTGGGGATCTGGTGTGCTAACATTATGAAATGGTCTTTATTTTCTCTCTCGTTTTTTTTTCCCTTGGGGCAATCTTACTGGTTTTATGTTTCTCATCCTCACCTGCTTTTTACCTTCTTTCCATTCATCATTTTTGTGTGGCCATAAGAGAGCTCTGTTGGAAAAAACTGAGCGTTACGTTACTCTGAAAGTGGAGATGTCTGAGTCATTCTCACCTACGCTGAGACTGAATTAAATACACTTGGGCCAGCTGCTCAGAAATCTCTGCCTGTTATTATGCGTCTTATCCTTAGAGTTTGATGAATGCTGCTTTCTTGGGAGATTACTTTTAGAAACTATCTAAATTATTACAAATAAACTCCATCAACGGTGATAAAGTTTAGTAGTAGGGGTTTAAATTTTAACTTCCAGTTCTAGAACAGACCAAGTCTATTATCTTAACATTGCTGTTCAGGTGATGGCCCACAGTAAATTGACGTATTCTGGACCAGTTAAAGCTGTTGTGATATATTTATAGGAAAAGCCTAGTGCAGCTCTCCAACCTGTAGAATAATGTAGCAATACTGTTATACGTAAGGACAAAATACAGAGAGTGGGATGCAAAGACAACCTACCTGACATCTCTCTGAGCTCCCTCTCAACAAAGTACATCAAAATCAGGAGTTTGTTTACATTAACGATTGCTTATACCATTTTTAAAACAGCTTAGAAGTGATTTGTTAACTCACTGGGTTTACTTTGCTCCAAGCCATACTGGTCACACTGTGACCAGCAGTTAAATCGCACATATATGACCACAGTCGTTCCAATCTGGGAGGTACAATTTCTTCTCGGGTTTTATTTACATCTGACAGAATTGATGGGTCAATGAATGCTCCCTTCTGCTCCTCCTTATCCTTCTTTTCCTTTTCACGCTCCTTCTGGTTAGCTTCTTTCACAGCTGCTACTGTACCACCAGTGTCTGATACAACGTCAGGATCTAAAATGCACAAATATGGTAAAATCTGAGTAGTAACATTTCATTTATGTAACTCCAGTCATTCCCATCAGAAGAAAAATGTGCCCCTTCAGCAAATATTTTGCAGAAAAAAAAAAATGAAGTGAAGATTTGAGGAATTAAGACATCCTAACTTCTAAAACTGTGGCTAAAATGTTGACAGGGACATAGAAGATGGCTGGATCAGGCTGTAGTGTGCCAGTTACGCTCCAGGTGTTTAATGAGTGGATTTAGCTACTCAGCAATGAATTTATGTCCACCACCACCCCCCGGAATGTTTCTAATCACTTATATTTAAAAATTTGTTTAAACAGGGATTTTTTCAAGTTAGGTGCCAAATTTTAAAGAGCCACACTTAAGAATCGATGCTGTAACACCGTAGCTAAGCTACATGATGCTGTGATAAGTTGCTCATTATCTGGGAAAATTAAGTGTAGAGCATATTTTTAGACTGCACTTGCTAAGCATTTTTCTGTTTACTCACCCCTTTATTTTATGTAATGTGCAACTCATAAATTGATCTCAGATCACCGTTAACAAAATAAGAACACGATAACTGCCATATTGTCAGAACAAAAGTCCTCCTGGCCAGTATCATGCTCCAGCTACAGCTAGTTCCTGAAGAGTGACAGAATATAACAGGTTCATTGCCTGAGAAACTATAACTCTCTCTGACATGAAGAAGTACAATACAGTACAAGCAGTGTGAATCTGCCTTTTTTGTTTGTTTGTTTGTTTTAATCCCTGTGTTAACTTAGAACTCCTGTAAAAGGTAAAATATTGGGTCCAGGTAATGCCTCTTACAGTCTGCAATGAATGTACTTTACGTTAGACACTGAATATCTGTCAGGTTAAAACTTCTGTTTACCACCAGTCTCCTCATAAAATAAATAAATAAATAAAAACCATAAAAGGCATTCCAATGCAAAAAATGGCTGGAGAAGTAGCAGAATTAATCTGTGCATTAACTATCAGGAAAGAAGTTTGACTAATATTTTGAGTAAATCTCAGTTTGTTCCGACAGGGAGATGAGCAGGCTCAGAATTCATTCATTCAATTCTTCCGCCAAGTATGGTAGGGATGTCTGTTAAAGTGAGTGAAAAACTGCAAAGTTCATGTTGACATCCCATATACTCTCCTTTGTCTATGTCTTAAAGGACTTGTTGTCTGCAAAGACATTTAATGAGGGACATAACTCCATGGCTTTCAATAGCATGCAAAGCCTTGTGCTGGCAAGAGGGCAGCAATAAGAAACAAACCTATAAGGACAGGAAACTGCCGATAAGCTGCAAGTTTGGGTTGAAAA